ATTTTATTATGGAGACTTGTCAAATGAAAATATTTAGTGGCATTTTCAAAATCATTTAGCAAAAATATAGAGTATCCAAATATTTTAATTCAGCATTATCTAGTTTCAAACTGCTCACTTTTTGAAATTGATTTCATAATGTTAAAAAATGTAATCCTCTCTACAAACAAATGTGACACTTTAGATTTGAAGGAAATCCTGGGTAAAATTACTTAATAGCTTTTTCTAGGAAAACCTTTGATGCATGAAGGCAAGGAGAACCAAAATACATCTATGAAGCTTTGACACTACCCCATCTCACAACCATTATTTCTAGTCCATAATCACTCTCCATCCAGTGTAGTGTTTATTTTGGTGCTCAGCCATCTACTGTCCTGAAATGTTATTTGAAGATTTTAAGTTGATATTTATGTCTCTGGAGTAAAACAACTTTTGCTCTACCTCAGCTACTAAATAGTAATAATTGTTGATTTTATTAATATAAACCATTGCCCTTACTGACACAGGTAAGTTTCATTTCCTACTTTCAGATGCCAAATACCTTCCTCATTAAGAGATAAAATATGGGTTAAAATATGACTGTTGTTTCTCAGCACAAAGTATATTTAAACTGAATTCCTTGAAGGGAGGATCTGGGTCTTATGCATCTTTGTTTTTTTCTGTGCCTGGCAGAGAGGTTAGGAACATTATTGGTGGCTCAACATATTTTTTTTTTTAGGGAATGGGTGAATTCATATTTTATTTTCATTTATTCTATTGATAAATTTTAAATTATTGATAACTTTTATGTCTACATAAACCTGTTTATTTTCTCAAATGGTAAATGTTTAAACTGATGGTCTCAAAATAATACTGCAAAGGCATTTTAATTTAGGCAACTTGGAGATATCAGCCATAAATACTACAAAACTTGAAAATCATTCATTTTAAAAGTTACTTTGCCTTCAGTGTGAATTACTGTTTATTTTAGAATATATATATTATTGATACCAAGTTCATGGTATATTATTACTTACAATCAAAAGGATAGGCGTAATAACAAACCAGCAAGCTCTCCACCATAGCCAGAATATCCACCTCTTTGCTCCAATCATCATTTCTATATCCTCAATGAATCTGTTCCCTCCTAAAGAAAATAAAGAGTACATTGAGTGCTTGCCAATATTTTCTTCCAGTAACCATTGTGGCATCTATTATATTTCTGTGTCTAAACATTTTTCTGTATCACAACAATGAATCATACACTTGTAATTACCTTTTCTTCATAACATATTTTTGTCCAGTGTATTTTATTTTACTATTATAATAGTATAAAAATGAATACTGTAATTCGGTAATCATAATGAAAACGAATCAAACTAAACTGTCTTAGTAAAACTTGAAAATAATTTTATAGTTACTATTTACCATAAATTCAGATGATTCCTACTAGCTCCAGTATAGCTGCAATTAAAATGTCCCATCCAGCACAGCAGTGGTCAATCAGATGAACCCAGTAAATTCTAGCCTACCAAAAATATATTGATTACTTCTAATTTGATATTTTTGATTAATGAGGTATTCAAATTGAATCTATTAATTTGATCTTGACATATGTTCCTTAGTTTCACTTCCGCTAAAATGTGTAAAGGAATGTTTCAGAAGTAAACCCAAATATGGCTTTAAATGTATCAAAAATCTTTCAATCTATAGTGAGTCACTGGAAAAAAAAAAGCACTTAGAATAGTTGATTATCAGAATGATATGCAACGTCTGTATGTTCTGTAGTGGTTGCCAAGAAATGTAGCATGTGTTTAAAGTCTGTAATCTTTTTGTAACTGAGATAACTGTTCATTATTGGGCCTCATCATCTGCAAAGTAGACTTACTATAAAAGCAATAATCAAGAAAACTGGGCCAAAACCCAGAAAACTTTGATCTAAGTCATGCATGGACTTGTCACTAAGCATCCTCTTAAGCCTTGGTTTATTTAGTTAGGTTATAAAGTATGTTCCAACTAACAATTTGTCTATGAAAAAAAATGTTGTAGTATACCGGAGTCTCACAGATGAGACCAAGGAGAAAAGAAACAAAGCAGCAGCCCAAAGTTATGGAAACCCTCATTTTCTTCATCACTTTGGGAAATAAGTCTTGAATCGTTGTTGTGATCGTTTCTTCAGAGGGGTAGAAATGACATGTTATATGTCAACTTATTTGCCAATATTGTTAATCACATAATTCAATGTACCTTAATCAAATTTACAAATACATGTTGAGAAGAGACTCTGAGCCCTGCTCCTTGCTTTTAAAAACCCATAGGGTTATTTCTTTTGACAGTCACCACTTGTTCTGATGAAAATCAAATGCAGTTCTATTTGTTGTTTTTAGTCTGCTTTATATGATTTTTCACTGATAGTAACTGTAAGGTAACAGTTCCCTGTGAGCTGGATTAGTGTAAAAGAAAGAATTCTAATAGGACTTTTAAATAAGGTAAATTTTTGAAAGAGTGGTGTGGAGACAGAAAGGATTCTAGGTTTAGAAATAAATGTTTTCATGAAATAGGGAACTGGCTAAGAGTAGAAGGATGTGTAAATGAAAATATCAGAAAACATGTTTGAGATTTTCAAGGACTTTGAAAGCCAACCAGAAAACTCTGGACTTTATCCTATAAGCAGAGTAATCTATGAAAATATTGTATTTGAGAAAGTGGTAGGATGAAAATTGCTTCAGAATTTCCCTAGTCATGTAAGCTAGGTAAATCTCTATGTATGTATAGACGTATGTAGGAGGATGATCATTGCAGCAGTGTGTTTAATTTTTTTAAAATTGCATATCATTCATATGCCCATTATTATGGCAACAAAGAGATTGTGATTTAGTTACATCTACATGCCTGTGTATCAGTGGTATTTGTAATGAATGCTAAAACAACTTTCAGAGTCATATAACTTCACATTTATGTGAAACTTTAAAAATGTATGTGTTATTTACAGAAACATATAAAATGCATATAAAAATGGACAAAATAACATACAAAATCCACTCTAAGAGTTGCTTCTAGAGAAAATTGTGAATTGTATTAGGAAGAGAAAAACAGAGGACTTCAAATTCACCTGTGACAGTTTATTTTCTTAAAATATCTGAAACAAGTATGATAAAATAGTAATGTGTATTCCTTTTGAATGTCAAGTGTTTTTCTGTATTTAAATTTTAGTTAAAACAACTTTGAGAAAGATCATTCTGAGATTAACAGCTAGAGAGGGTAATAGGGGTAATAAAAGCACGTTTTCAAGTAGAGGAAACACAAGAGAAATATAAGAGGAATATGTTAACACTGGAAGTATTACTTACCAATTGAAGCAAACTGAGAATCGAGACCCAAAGTTAAAAGCATGAAAAAAAATAATATGGACCAAAATGGACCACCTGGGAGTTGGGCTAGAGCTTCTGGATAGGCAATGAATGCCAAATCAAAACCTATAAAAAATGTATGGTATTTTAAATTAGTTACCAAGAATATTCACATTTAAACATTTACAAAATAAGATATTTTTTTTTAAATCTCATCTTATTTGACAACACAATCCATGACATACATTTTTTTTACCAACTATTTCATGTTCCCTTTTTACATTATTTAATTTGGTTGTTTTGTGATGTGATAATGGGAACACGTGACATGAATTAAGTTAGCAATACAGACTGTAATGTAAATGGTACATTCCTCACGTAAGAAATTTTAATTCTTTTTATAGTTTCATTGAAATTATTTTATTTTTTAAGATTGACAAAGAATAACAACTGTCTTAAATTCCAGAAACATAAATTAGTTTGTATTATCTTAGGCTAGAAACTCTGAAAGAATTGCACTATTAAGAAATATATATTTATGAACTAACTTTTGTTTTTAACCTTCTCTTCAAATGTTTACCCAGAATCACTATATGGATATATGCAAAATTGTATATAATGAAAGTATAAATTAAATCTTGTTTTCCATTTGATGTTACCTTTAGAGTGTTTTTAAATTTTGTGCCAGTTCTATTTTGTGATCCTCAGTTTTAAGTATTTTTGTTTCTCCAACCTCCCAGAGGACTAACTTAGGATTCATGAAAATTAGCTTTTAGTCTAGGCTCTATTACTTCCTAAATATTTGACCTTCTCCAATACATATATGACCTTTCTGTGCATCAATCCACTTCTCTGTAACTGAGGAGCTGGACACTGGATAATCTACAAGGTCCCTGACATTCTGTTATGAATCATCAGTCTTTCCATGATATGATACTAACTATAAACAAAATTTTAATGAAGAATCTCTACTTAAAAGAACCCTAGTATTTTTTTCCCAAGAATCTATAGCCACATAATCAAGCATCCCTAGCTAATATCTATAAAGTTGGGCAGTTCACTAAGATTCCTTTAAGGCTATACACAACTGGACACTCCAAGTCACTTGACTCTCTTATGTATATGATGTTCATGTGATTTAAAAATTCAAACCTAATACTGTAATTATACAGAGGGATTTGTATGTACATTTTCTTTCTTTTATAATGTATGGGAAGTGTTTAGCATGATGCCTGAACCTTGAAGTTGTATAGTAAGTGGTTCATATTAAGTACTAACCTAAACATCCTCTTCTTCAACAGCGTTTCCCTAATATACTCTTGTTTACATGTATATTCATTATATTATTACAGCAACCAAATTATATAAGATAAAATAAGGAAGAAAATGCAATATTCTAAATCATGACTGTTTTAAGTAAATTTCTATAAACTATATTAGAGTTTCATAAGTGAGATACATTGAATTAATCAAAGTTGATCATATACAGCATTACATACCTGATTTTACAACTTGAGAAACTTCCTTTCCAGATATATGGGCCATGTGTCCCAATATAGAAAAAATAGCAAATCCAGCAAACACACTAGTAAGACAGTTTGTCAAACAAACTACAATGGCATCAGAGAAGCAGTTGTTTTTGAACTTATTGTAAGATGATAGAGCAACTAAGCCACCCCAAGCCACTGAAAGGGAGTAAAATATCTGAGTGGCAGCATCTTTCCAAACCTATAAGAGAAAATAATTTAATATTTTAAAACATATAATCAATTTTTCACTCATATAAATATTTTACATATGCAAATGAATATGTTAGTAATATCAATGAAATGAAAACCCAAATGCCCACTACTCAGCTTGAGAAATAAAATGTTACAGTCTTTTAAAAGACTTCCTTATCATCATCACCTTTCTACCCACCAGTGGTAATTGCTATCTTGACTTTTGTTCATAATTTCTTTGTTCATTTTTACACTTAGTTTTGAATGTTTTGGAATTTATAGAAAAGTTAATACATGTAAACATATACAATGTGCCATTTTTTATTAGGTATTATGAGATTTATCCATCATCAAGTTGAACTGTATAAAATGTCCACTTTGTGACTCAAAAGAATATTAGCAAATTCATTTAGTTAAATTAAATTTATGTAGTTTTAATTATTCTTTTCTACCTGTTTGTTTGTTTGTTTTTGAGACACAGTCGCAGCTCTGTTGCCAAGGCTGGAGTTTGGTGGCAAAATCTTGCCTCACTGTAACCCCTGCCTGACAGGTTCAAGCAATTCTTGTGCCTTGGCCTACAGAATAGCTGGGATTACAAGCACATGCCACCACACCCAGCTATTTTTTTGTGCTTTGGTAGAGATGGGGTTTCACCATGTTGGCCAGGCTGATCTCGAACTCCTGACCTCAGGTGATCTGCCTGCCTCAGACTCCCAAAGTGCTGGGATTACAGACGTGAACAACCANTTATTACCACACTGCATATGTCACAATTTATCCTTTCTCCTGGTGATGGACATTTAGGTCATTCAGTATGTTGCTATTATGGAGCTGTGAACATTCTTGTACATTCCTCATCTGTAGGTGTGGAACTGTGATGTCGTAAAGTATCTGCATTCCTCCCTTCTAAATCTTGCCAAATTGTTCTTTAAATGATTATACCATTTTGCATTCCCACCACCTGGGTGTGAGGGTTCCCATTCCTCCACCTACTTGCCAACACTTCATTTTCCATAGGAGTCGTTTTTGTTTCTGTGAAATTCCCAGTCATGTCTTTTGCCAGTTTTTGGTTTGGACTGTCTTACTTGGTTTCTAAAATTCTTGATGTAATTTGGATTCTAATCTTTTGACTATTATATATGTTGATATTTTTCCTCCCAATTTGTGGCTTAATTTTTTTACCTTTTAACATTGTGTCCTTTAATGAACCAAGGTTTTTGCTGTTGGTTTACTGTAGCTGAAGGTATCTATCTTTGACTATATGTATTAACCTTCATCTCTATAATTTTTTAAAAAACTGCTCAGCCCAAGGTTATAAAGGTGTTATTCTATATTTTCTTCTAAAGGAGTTAAAGTTTTGCCTATATTGTTAAATTTTCAATTCACCTAATATTGATATTGTGCATATCGATATATATGATATGTGAATATGTGAAATTTCCAACTGATGTTGTTTCCTGAATGGGATATCAATTGCTCAAGGATAATTGATATTATCAATTAAATAAATTAGATATCAATTGGATATCAATTCTATCAATTGGATTATCATCTCTTTCCTTATTGATCTACATTGCCACCTCTGCCACATACCAAGTTCCATTTGTTTTTGTATCTGAGACTACTATCCTGTTCCACTGGTCTATATGTTTATACCTATGCTAACACCTCAGTATTTTAATTAGTACAGCATTATAAATATTGTTTCATATCTGGTAGGAGAAGTCCTCTTTACTTCAGATACATCTTGGGATTTTGGCCTTTTTCCTTTCCAAATAAAATTTAGAATCAAATTTCAAGTTCCATAGAAAACTGTTTTGGGATAGATCATGGTTATTTCACTTATATTTAAGAAAACCATGTTAGAATTAAAATGCCCTCTTATTTCTTAGGCCACTGTCCATATTAAGAGATGAACAGCATGCTCATGTTGGTCTCTGAGCTTCTTTTACTTGATATGTTATGTGTGCCTGTGTGATGGTGAAGTGGGTTTGGCAGTCCTGTGTTGTGTAAGAATGCTACTGAATACCATGATGTGTTCCTAGGTTGCAAATAAAAATGAAGATAAATTCCAAACATAGTTTTAATCTCCATATCTATTAATCTCATACCCATATACAAGATTATTACATTATGGATTAGGAAATCATAATTCAATTTTTATTAATTGGCTGTATACAATTGGCTAAAACTGAATCTATGTAGGTCTTAGTTTCATCACTGTAAAATGAGGGAGTTAGAAAAATAATCTCTGAATTCCTGAAGACTGCTCTATCTATAAATTTGTGTGGTTCTCTACTCTCCTGGATATCTCAATGAAGTTCAGATATTCCAAGAAAAGGAAAGACACCTGATTATGATTCCATGTTTAGAATATATATTGTGGGGATTGAAGAAAAAAACCTAAGAAAAACAACTGTCATTGCCAGCAAATCCCCCAAGAAAGGAGATGGGTAATGTTATGTTGGAGAGTAGAGGGGTGAGAAGATTAAATTGTATGTTTCACAAGGAGTTTTAGGTTTTACTCTGATTTTTTAAGATGTTAGAATCACTGAAACATAGAACAATATAAAGGTGTCATATAAATTTTTCAGAGTGATTTCAAGGAAGTACAAAACCCAGATATCTTAGGCTTGCAAAAGCCACTAAAATAATATCAAAGAGGATTTTTAACTAGGTTCAAAGTCATGAGTTTCAAAAAAAAAAAAAAATGGTGAATCTACTTCTTCGGGAAAATGTCGTGATTCTAACAAGATAGTATAAGAGAAATAATTGAAATAATTGTACATTAGCTCATATTTATATAAAAGCTTGCTATTTCCAAGTTCATTAACATATTTTATCTTGTTCAATAACCTCACATAGAGAAGGTGATGAATGATAATTTCCATTTTATTTGTTTCTTATTTACCATCCAAAATGGTCTTCAAATGGGGAAGAGATTAGCCAACAAGGCTAAAAAGAGTGAGGCCCAAAATAAATGAAGAAGCAAATTAAAATGGCCTGTGAACACATCAAAGTATATTAAGCTCCAAGACTATAATAATAAAATTCCATAGATCTAAAATAAGTTAAATCTGTGTGATTAACTTATTAATCACTTATTAATTGAGAGGAAATTACTGAGCACAAAAAAAGGTAACCAATGACCAGAGACTGGCGTTTTAGATTTCAGAAAGGTAACTGTAAATTAATGACAGATTTCCACAATTAAAAGCTAATACATTTGGCACTGATCACAAAAAAAAAATTACAAGAAATAATTACACATCTTCTTGTAAGTATTTAGTAAAGAAGACAGCAGTGGCTGGAAATTAGCATGAGTTCCATGAAAAATACTATAGCAAATTAAAACTAATATCCATTTGAATAATACTACTAGTTTGGCAGAAAATATAGCGTCTCTTGATTTCAACATAAGATTACAGGTTTTTAGTTGAACAGAAGCTTAATGTGTGCTAAGAATATGATGTGGCTAGTAAAAAAGTAAAAGCATTCTAGGCCATACTTACAGAAGCATACTATCTGTAGTATACTTACTGTTAATACTCTCAGCAGTCAAATTGTGAAAGATTTTACATACCAGTGGTACATTCAGTCATTATATGAAGGTAAAGTTAAAACAGGGTTACCCAATTCTTACTCATGGCACATGTTTAGGTTTCTGGTATAAGTAACAATTTTCGTTATGGAATGTTTAATCCATGTCAAATTTATGTTTTAACTTAACAATTCATTAGGCAAAATTTGATAATATTTTGGGTATATTAAATTTTGAAGAAAATTAAAATGTATATTAGACAATTAAACTTTCAACAGTAATCTCTAAAACTACTATGAGTTTATCCAATAAATCACATAGTCCTAGTCATCAACTTGCAAATATTTATGCATGAAATATTGTTTTTCATATTAATAAGCCTGACATTTTGTTGGTCAAATAGAATCAATTTATATGAATAAAAAATGACTTTTAAACCCCTATTTCTAAAAATTATCTTGCTATCAATAAAAGAATATTAATGATATTTTAAATATTAACTAAGTCAGACATCCTAGTGGATAGAAACTAATAAATGTAATTGTATATTCTTTTGCAAGCTATTACATTACAATACTCATATGGAACCAAAGACGTTTGGCATTTGCTTTTAAGATTTACCTACTCAGATAATCTGAAATCCAAGTTAAGACTCACCTCAGCTTCCCTAAGTTTTGTGAAATTTGACTGTGCTCCAATATAGTATGAAATGCCTTTTGAAGCACCCTCCAGAGTTGCACCTCGTACTAACAAGATCAGTAGGACCACATAGGGGAAAAGAGCTGTAAAATATACCACCTACCAAGAAAAGTAACCAAAAATTAGTAAGTTATTTTTAAAATCATGATGTATAATTGCATACAAGTGAAATTATTCGCCAGTTGAGATTAATTAAATAAAGTGCACGGGATTTCATAGGGTCTGATGATATACCAGTATTAGTGTGATATCTTATTTGCATCCTCACCACTCTCAAATAATCCATTTCAAAAATACTTTGATGTATTAATAAGCATTTCCTAGGTTTATGTTGTAAATAAATAATACATCAGCAATGATAACTTGGATTCTCAGCAGAAGACTCTCCTAAATATATCCTTATACATGTCTGTGGAGACTGAATGTCTTCTCTCAGTAAATTAATACATTGAGGCAAGGAGGGACATGATTTAAACCCTGCATTGGTTAATACATATGCAGCCTTCAAATAAAAGAAAAATATTTCCTAGCAGATGTTCAAATCCAAGAAAAGCATATTGAAGTAAATACTGGACACTTGTTACTGTTATCCTTACAGCTACCATTAAGAGAGTTTGATAGCACACACGCAAGTACACTGCTTCTGTACTAGATAACACATGGTTCCCAATGAGAAGATTGCCTTTGAGACCAGCTTTGCCTTAATGTGGATGATTTCCTTGATCCGTAGATGTCCTGTGTTTTATAACACACCCAAGGAGACGATTTAAACAAGCCATCCAGATACCAATAAAAATTAATTGCCTGGGTAAATGGCCTTTAATGGACTGTTTCAATATTAACATCAAAAGGAAACCAAGGGTTTCAAAAATGTGGAACTAAAACATTTTGGAAAGTTTTCACTGAATTTGTGATATTCACAGCATTTTTGTAATGTAACAGCATGTCTCATTACAATTTAACATTAACTGGATGTGCTAGATAATGTACTGAGAATACAAAGACAAGATTCCCAGTTATTCCTGTCCTCAACCTTTAAGGAAATTTCCATTGACTAGTTAAAAACACATAGACATTTTTTTCTGGGTATTGTGTAACTGTTCACAGAGAAAATTTCATGTTCTCTTAAATTACCATTATTCTCTCTGAAAGTTTATAAAAGTGAACAATGAAGTGTGAAAATAGAATGCTTTTCAGAAAAGGTCCTTTCACTGAGAGAAAAAGTTCTGTGTTCATTTTGGCAATATTTAAGAGAATGAATACATAGTGGGTGTACACACACACACACACACACACACACACACACACTTCTCTCTCTTCAACTAGGGGATTCCTGATACTATTACTCTATAGAACAAGGATCTAGACTTTTCCAAACCAAACACTGCAGTATATGATTCCATTCAAAATGTTTCTTTGTATAGTAGGATAGAAAATTTAGTAATATACTCTCAAGCCTCAGAATGCTTATCAGCTAAAAGGGTCCATGTTTTTAGGAAATGTGCAACTCTAGTACCAGCTTTTATTTTGTTTGTTTGTTTTGTATTTAGCAATAACAGAGATCCTATGTATTTACTTAGAGCTTAAGATGACCACTGAGAAAGCTTTTCACACATTTAAATGCTTCCATTATAGAAAAAAAAAAACATGCTTTTGATAATGCTTGATATTGAACTACAATGAAATTGGGAAGCTGCTATATCACTATCTGATGTGTTTTTTAAATTACCTTGCCAGAAGACTTGATTCCTTTAAAAAGTGCTGCTCCAACTATGAGCCAAGCCAGAAGAAGACAAAGTGCTAAATACCATACAATTACTCCAGTCTCATCCATTCCACTTGATCGTTGGAGCGCCACTTTACTGAAACACATAAGCCATTTTATGATCACAGAATCACTTGTCTTAAAGAAAATACATTGAATGTTTTAATATCATTTGTCCAAGTGGAAGCTTCATGAGTATTGTATCTTATTAATAGATCAAAATTCTGTGAGCCTTTATTGATGGATACCATCAATGAAAAGGCACAGATAGTTCGTTAAATGACCAGCCTCCTAACTTCAGAGTTAACCACATCCAATCCAAAGTTTCAAACCATAGAATAAAAGATCTATTGATTCTTTTAGCTATTACTTTCCTCTATTTCAAGATCCTTTATGTAAAGAAATTGACTTTATATCAGATTTTATATTTTACTATTGTAGTATTTTTCTCATATTAAAATAATGAGGAAAACATTTAGATTATAGTAAATATTTTCTCATTCTGTACTTATAGATATCACCAAACTCAAATGATCCCATTATTCACACCTTTTCCACAGACTTTATGTAAAATTCCAAGATTCTCACTAGGTACATGCATAGATCTAGGATCTTATTTCTAAGATTGAAGTTTGAGAACATTTGAAGATCCAAAGTTTAAAAGAGTTACAAAGGTCATTAACATGTGAATGAAGAAGAGATCATTTAGCAATAGAGTCAACAATATTAGGTGAAGGTAATGGTTAGGTATAGAGTAAGTAAAGAGAGATCATTTAATAAAAGTAAATATAACCCTACATATCTATTCTTACCATATAATGACAATGGTAAACAAAATTGATGAGGAATTACACTTTTTTAAAAAAGCAATCTTATTCATCACCCAACTATTTATCATTACAACTTGATCATTGCAGTCTAAAATTTGGATATTTTTTCTTCAAAGCAATTTCCTAACTCATAGCTAATAAGCACTTAATAAGTCAGTACAGCATTCTGCCCATTTAATAACTAATTTATAAAAGAGATTGCTGACTATGAGCTAATTTGCAGATAACTACTAATAACATGGCATAGGTAAACATTTGAGTTAAATGAAATATAATTTGCTCTGACTTCTCTTTTTCTATTTATGTGAATTAAGGAGGGGTTGATTAATATTTTGTTGTTTTATATGAATTTTAAGATAACATCTCTTTAAAAGTAAATCATCTAGCATACTTACTTCCAATATTGTTCACTGGGAAGCTGCCCTGGCTGATAAATTTCACTGCCATTGATGCAGGTAAGATTGTTGATGTCTACCCGGCTTTTATTTATTTGGATAATCTCCAGTATTCCATTATTTACTGTACTCACATTACAGTGTGTTACTAAAAATGATAGAAAAAAAATATATAGACACAGACATGTACTTAGTTTTAGAAGAGTACTTTCCTGGAAAAAAAAGTTTTAATGATAAATGATTTAAATTACCATCAAAATTGTTACTTGGAGAAAGTGGAGTAGAAATCTTACAGATGGAATAAGCTATGTACATTCAGCATTTTAAAATCTTGTCTACTAAACTAGGAGGGATTACATAATTGTCTGCCTTTGTAAACCATGATTATATTTACAGTAACAACAGGTATAGAGTAACAATTGTTTCAGTTGCAGTATAGTGCTCTAACAAACTTTTGGTATGTGGAATTACCTATGCAGCCTATGTTTTAAATAAATTAAAGCCTTTAAACTCAGAAGCATTACATATTTATAAATTTATTCTCTGATGTACATAGGTAATTAAAATGGCAATAATCTATGACATAGATGGTACATTATCCCTAAAATTAGCAACATATAACATGAACAACATCTACTGTCTCCTGAGACACACACAACTCTCATGGATAGCACTTTTCTCCCTTTGTCATTTTCTCAGTTTCTCCTCTCCTGCCCAGAGCTTAGGCCTGGAAGAAGTACTCCTAGGCAAGATTGAGCCTTCCTGGCTGCTTTCAGAGATTAACACATTGTATTACTTATTTTTCAGATTATATATGTTAGCTTCTGCTTTCACCAGTGACCTTTGGACCCCTTAAAATGTACCTAAATTGCTTAGAGAATGATTTAACCCTTCAAGCACATAAAAAAAATGAAAGAATTATTTGGGGGTTGACAAATTTTACCTATTGGTGATCTGCTACAGTTTTTATCTGACCACGAAGAACAATTTTTCCATGGTAGTTCACTTTGAAAAGAAGCAAACATGTAGTAAAGACTATAGGCAATTATGACATTGTAATAGATTGTCACAAAAATGGATATCAGGACCATTGTAATTCCCACACCTAGAAAAAAAAGAACAATTAAAAACCAAACTCAAGTGAAATTTATTTTGCTAATTCATAAAAAAAAAATGTATCTCAATTACCACAAAATCAATTGTAAAATAAAAAAGACTGTTTCCGGCTGGGCGCGGTGGCTCAGGCCTGTAATCCTAGCACTTTGCCAGGCTGAGGCAGGCGGAACACTTGAGGGCAGGAGTTCCAGACCTATGTGGCCAACGTGGTGAAGCCCTATCTCTACTGAAAATACAAGAATTAGCTGAGTGTGTTGGCGCACACCTGTAATTCCAGCTACCTGGGAAGCTATGGCAGGAGAATCGCTTGAACCTAGGAGACGGAAGTTTCTGTGAGCTGAGATCCGCCACAGCACTCCAGCCTGGGCGACGGAGTGAGACTCACTCAAAATAAAGAAAGACTGTTTTGAATGACTTTTTTTCTTTTTTCTTCCTGGGAGAGTAGGGGTTAATGCTGTCTGAGCAATTTTCTTCTAAATTTAAATTCACTTTTATGATTGGCTTTTGGATGCAGTTTTTCAGTTGATTAGAAAAGGTTTTAAGGACAAGGCCAGAAGACTTGTTTTATGCCCATCAAATTCACATAAAGCAAAACCCAAGTCTATTACTTTTTCTTATTAAGCCTACAAATTCTTGTCAGATCATGCAAAGCAGACATTCTTTAGACCAAAAAAAAAAAAAAAAATTCAAAGCTCATATCTTATTTACTCACTGAACAACACAATATTCATCTACAAATCAACATTTTGAAAAGTAGAAAATGAAGCCTCTAAATTAATGACCTGAAGGGATGGTGTACATATTTTTACAACTATGTGTAAAGAAAATTAAATAATTCAATGACAATCTGAATTTAAATATCAAAAATTTCCTTAACTAGGTAGTTTCAGAATGCAGTTTAGCATGCTGAATAAAACTCCTATGCTTAAAACTAGCTTTTAAGGTAGTTTCCTCACTCTTCCAGAGCAATATTCTAGTCACGAATTTATTTTTGATGTTGCATTGAAAACAATTTTTGCAAGCTAGCATATACCAAAATTATATTTAATCTTCAGACAAAAGAGGTAGTTTAATGCTTAGTAACAATTAAGGTATTTATTAAGCTTTACCAGTGTCCTATTAGGAGCATCCAAGAAAAAATGGCCTACCTTCAACTTTTCTGAATGAGGCATTGTAAAAGATATGCAAAGGCAGTAGGACAAAGGCTAAATAGAAGTAGAAAAAAGTCAGAGACTTTAAATTAGAGCACTAGATCATGTGCCAAAATAATTCAAAAGGTGAAAATAGGAAAATAATGATACCCTTATAACTGTCTTTAGTGTGCTTTCTAACCCTTCCCATTTCTGCAGCCCAGGATAAACAGAAATAAAAACATTTGATTTTTAAATTCTATAGTGGCAAACTGTGCAGCAACACAACAATAATGCATGTTTACTTTGCCTTAAATTGTCAGAATAAGCAATTTTTTCTTCCTCGTAGTGAAGGTAGCTATATGCACAAATATACTAATAACCATGGTAAAGAAAATGCTTTAATACCAACCTTGAAACAATGGAAGAATCCTCCAAACTGAAACTGGACCTAAGCTAGCAAATTGTCCCAGTGAACACTCCAGAAAGAACAAAGGTAAACCAGCCAACGCTAGCATAATTGCATAAGGTATCAGGAAGGCACCTAAAAAAGGTAAGAACCAAAGCACTATTACACGTCAAAGTCTTGATGACACTTTCACAACCAACATAACATTTTAAAAGCATCCTGATACAGTGGAATCAAAATGTGCTGGGTTTGAGCCTAAACTTCACTACTTTCTATGAATAAGTAGTTGATTCTTTAAATCTTGGATTTCTCATCTATGAAATGGGTATCCTAGTATTACCTAATGAGGTTGTTGTGATTATTACAAACAATAAAGTATAAAAACTTAACCAGAGGAATTGAGCGATCCCAGGCATTGGAGCCAGATAGACCTAGGTTGAAATCCTGCCTAGACCATTTACCAGTTATGTGACCTAGGGCAACTTACCTAATGTCTGAACCTTGGATTCCTTATAAAAGGGAGAACAATACCAACTCAGTTTGTGGTAAGGGTTCAAATACAGTGCCTATGTGAAAATGCCTGCCAAAATGGCAGGCACGCAGCCATTTTGCTTTTCCTCCTTTCTCCTTTAAAAATAAATGATCTATTTTTAGGACTAGGTGTAAAAATGCTAATGTGGCTCAGAGTGTAAGTTACTGAAATTAGGTTTATTGTTCTCCAAAGAGTCACAAGGTTCTTCACTCAATACAAAACATATTGTTTTTGTTTGAAAATTCTGAATTTTGAGACATACTCATTAATTTTCAATTTGATTAAGAATAATTCACCCACACTAGATGATTCATCTCCCCCATTCTTTTAATCTTTTATCATTTTCCTTTTTTTTTCTTTCTACTTTTGGGGCATAGTGTTTTTCATTAGAAGCTTTACCAAATTATAGGTTGAAGCCAGGACAGAATATTAAACTTATTGATAAAACATTCTAGAAATATTGGTAAAGTTTAATAAGGAATGTAGGGATCACTGGATAAAAATGGGTTTTCAGATTATGTACATTTTATTTACTCATGTTACAGTTTTGCCTCAACTATTTTTCATATTATGATACTGTGTAATGTCACACCTAAAAATAACATTTTTTTCAACTCTCAGAATACATCTACTACAAATGAGTCTATAAAGCACTTGTTATTTATTCATAGGTAACTGACTTACTTTAATGCTAACCCTGGAAGTCACTAGACCATAGGGAAAAATATGTTTGTAAAGATGTTGCAATGCACATACCATCTTTACTATGACTAATAGAAGTTCAAGTCCTGTGAAAGACAAACATGAAGAAAAAATACAGAATATCCCTGTTTAACTACAATAAACAAGTTTAACCAGCTGAGTGTGAACAGGTATTTTTCTTTACAAAAAGATTATTTTCTTCAGTGTTATGTCTGACTTCTCAGCTATTATTATCAATATTACCCATAGTTGATAAATTGTTAATATAGTGGCCATAAATTGTCAATAATGCAGACCTAGACCCTAAAGTGACAGTTCTCTTTCACAAACTGTTAAAAAGAATATACAGATAAAAATGTTTCCAGGTTTTAGAAATAACTTTTAAACCTGACCATATTATTAAACCTAATTAGCATTTAACAAATTTGAATCTCACTTTCCTCTTCTAGTCTTGGACAAAAGAAGAAGCATTGAGAGTGTTAACTTAAAAAACTGAAAACCAATATGGCATATTAAATTTTAGAGGAAATGATGAAAAAGATAATAGCATACAATTAATATTATTGTTTTGACTATATTTTAAAAGTTTCTATTATAACTAGTTTAGGCCGGGCATGGTGGCTCATGCCTGTAATTCTATCACTTTGGGAGGCCGAGGAGGGTGGATCACAAGATCAGGAGTTCAAGAGCAGCCTGGCCAAGATGGTGAAACCCTGTCTCTACTAAAAATATAAAAAGTAGCCAGGCATGGTGGCGGGCACCTGTAATCCCAGCTACTGGGGAGGCTGAAGCAGAAAATTTCTTGAACTCGGGAGGTGGAGGTTGCAGTGAGCCAAGATCGTGCCACTGCACTCCAGCCTGTGTGACAGAGCAAGATTTTATCTCAAAATAAAATAAACTTGTTTAATGTAGTTCCTAGAAAATTGTGGCAATTATTGGGCCTATGTATGATGTCAAGGCACAGGGGATTTCTTACTCTAAACATGAGTTACAAGAGGCTTAAAATGAGTCAGAATGTTTCTCTTCACCACACTGGACCTTAGGACATAGACATAAACAAAATTGTAGTTTCTGATGTGTTTTCCAGCTGACTGAATGACCCAGCTTCTAGATAGGGGAATTTATGCTACTGACACTTAAAGCATTTAATAAACAGAATTCCTTTCTTAAGTCTCTGAAGACCACTGTGAATATTGTAATGTAATCAATTAGCAAGAATTATGATTGAAATATCACCACACAAAATCCTATCATACTAAGAAAAATAATTATAGTGGCACAGTCTCACTGGCACCCAGTTATGAAATATAAGGGCATGTCACCTCTATACTTCTAATAGAACCTGTAATTACAAGTAAATAAAATATGGTGTAAGTGAAAAAGTTGTTTGGACATTACTAGAGAATTGTGCAATTCATTTTCTTTCCCATTGTGTGTCACCTCAAAGTTGTATTTCTCTCCTTATTCTAATTGAGTCTACCCTAATGATCTACAAGGTATAAACAGCATTTTTTTGCAGGAATAAAACATCAATCCTAGAACTAAATTATTTCATTTTAGAATGATCTTCTACATAGTCAGTCCAGTTACATGTAACTTAATATTGCAGCTTAAAAACTAAACATTTAATTTTTAATCATCTCTTTCCACACTTAAATCATCACAATATAATGCATTATTTTAGTTAAACAAATAATTTGAGCTTCTTAATTGAACTTGATTTCTCTGTTTATGATTCAGCTATAAATTAAGCAAAGCACAATTTGAGTCTGAACAGATTATCACAGAAACATGCATAAATTAGGAAAAGTATGTCATAGTTGAAGATTACATGAGATCTCATATCAGAAGCTTAGAAGTGCTAAAAATAAAGCTTTCATCAAGTTTATATCTGAGGATTTTGTGAAACTAGCTTTCTAACTTGAGCTAGTAGCTCAGACTAATTAATAAATTCAATATGCTTTTTTCTCATTCTCCCACTAACCCAAACTATCAACTATCATATGCCTTCCTTCAATGTGTAAAACATCCTCAGAGGCCATACAGCATCACATTTAAAACTGGAGGGAAAAGCAAAGGTGTGGGGTGGGGGTGAAATAGAATACCTCCACCATTGTTGTAGGTCAGATATGGAAATCTCCACACATTTCCCAATCCCACTGCATATCCAACCATAGATAGAAGATAATCCGATTTTTTGGACCAGTTACCACGGTCCTGATTCTCATCATTTTCACCAACATGGAAATTCTCTGATGAAGCTGACACTTTCTGGGGAAGAGAAAACATCAACAGCTTTTCTTTCTACTATTACAAATTCCACAGAAGCATAATTTCACAAATCCATAGAACAACACAAAAATGGGGGGAACAAACCCTGAAAACCATAGCTGAGGGGAATGCTTTAGAAAGTTGGGGAGATTTCTGCTGATAGCTGCTTTTGCTTTACAACATTTACCCATTAGAGTGAGCATGGTTCTGTAGGTATGTTTACTACTCCATCAGCTGAGATTATCCAAATTTTGGTAAAAACGTTAAATGTGACACCAGTGTGAGGCACAAATGAAAGCAGACAAAGCAGGTTGGAAATACAAAGGTCTCTGTCACAGCAGTGTGAGGGGCAAATGAAAGTAGACAAATCAGGTTTCAAATACAAAAATCTTAAAGATGAATTAGATAAAGTCATTACTATTGATATTGTAGCAGATCTTTGAGCAGGAACAAATGTAGTTTCTACTGGAAAAAAAGCAAACGAACAAGAATCCATAAACTTTTCTTATGGCGTGATAATATTGGATATATCAAGTTAAGGGTAGTTTAACTTTTCTCTGTCTTATAGATTAAAATCAGTGCTTTTCTAAAAGCCATAGAATAATGTGCAGAAACAAATTCTCCTGTGTCACCAGATGGAGTAGCTCTCTCTCCACTTGGGAGGGGGAGGAGGGATAGGGGTTCTCCCAACCTGCTCACTGCTCTGGAGTATGGAGGGTTCCTTGGGTCAGTTAGGGACAGTATACTTTTGCACTTTTCTCTAGCATATGGACACAGTTAGGAGAGGGACAGAGAACAGGATTATATGGGTACTCCCAAGGCAGAGGATGAGGTGGCCCTGAGTCTTCTAGCTATGAGAGTAAGAGCTTTTCTTTTTTCTCTTCTCTATAGTTATAGCTCAGGCACACTTAATAGTTGAACAGAAATGTGGAGAACAAGGAAAAGTCACAGAAAGCAAAAACTGAGACTAGCAACTTCTCTTAAGTTTTCCACTCTCAGGCCCTCCACACCTCCCACAGCTCCCAAACCCCTACCTCCATCCCCCTGCACTTGAAGAAAGTCAGGCACTTCAACTTGTCCATGGTTGAAGCTGGCTCCGCCTCGTCTCCTCTTGCAGTCTGGCTGAGCTTGACTGGTGGCAGGTGCACACTCCCCTGTTCCTACTTGCCAGAGTGAGCCACCTTGCCCAGGGGTGGGACCATTTATGGAGAAGCTCTCTCCTCCCCCTCCTGGGTGTCCAGTAGTGTCAGTTACCGGAAGGGACTAAAGTGAGGCTCTGGTTTTTCCCCAGGTAAGCCTACATGTAGCAATCTCATCTCCTGCCCCAGCCCTGGGAAAGGGCTGGGCTGCTGGAGAGCAGAGCAGTCTGAGCCGAGATGACTGACAGACTTTGACTCAGAGCTGTGTAGGTGCCTTTGCAATCTAGTCTCCTTTCCTGGGTTCCCTGTTTCCTCCTAACCTCGCCTCAGTCTGGTCTCTGTTCTGGTGCCAAGTGTTGATCTCCACAAGTGCTGGAGGGAGAAGAGGGCCATCCTGTTCCCCAGAATTCTCCTGAACAGACCAAACCACCCTGGGTCCTCAGATTTCCCAAAGTTTTGCCCCTCACTAGAAAGCACTTGATTTCCTGGGGCAAATGCTGCTCCCAGAAGAAAAGCCCCTGAATTGGGCACCTTGAAAAGCAGCCAGGTGAGATAAGATTACCCAGCTGGCTCGGCCTGAAAAGAGCAACTTGGAACCTATATCTCGGGCTCCATTCTCAGCCTTCAGGACAGCTTTGCCTTTTACAGGGATTGCTTTGTGTGGTATTTCAAAGAAGCCAAACACAAACAAATTATTGAGTAGGTTTATGGGAAATTCTAACCCTAACAAAGAACCACTCTCTGTAAGAAAGATGAGGCTTAGAAAGTAAACTATGAGGAAACATCCCAGCATGACCAGGGAGGAAATATTATAATGTGGTTTACTAATAGAATGCCTTTTCATCAGAAAACTCAAAGGATTTAAACTCAGTCTGCCCGGGTAAGAGATAGTGATGGTGGTTCTATGAAGCACAGCACAAATTCATACACAGAGAGGAATGAACAAATAGGCAAATTCTGTACCCAATGTACAGCTCCTTTGTTCTCCACTGACTGATAAAATTTTTCATTTACAATAGAAATATGCCCAAGGGAATCTAGGCAGGTAAGGTAGAGAAAGTCCATGAAAGATGTAGGGTGCTAGTAAGGAAAGTATCAGTAAGTTTCACTTAACTTTGTCTTGAACATAACAAAGGCTGATGTGCATGTGTGTGTGCACACATACGCGTGTACCAATGGGGAGTTGGGGGAGGGAGAGTGCTAATGCATGAGTGCGTGCCTATTAGTACTATATACTACTGGTGTGACCTAAAGGCTAAGAGGAAACAGAAGGGAGAGAAGCAAGAAGGGCTTATAAACCTCCTTATAAAAGGAAGAGCTAAAAAGCAAATCCAATAGCATTTACTAAACTATCAAAATCCCATATAAATGAAAGGGGCCCACTTTGGGGCATTGAAAACAATTGGTAATCAAGAGACTAGAAAGAAAACAAGAAACATAAGGATAGAGAGATTATGGGGATTACAAGGTGTATTAGCCTATTCTCATGCAGCTATGAAGAACTGCCCAAGACTGGATAATTTATAAAGGAAAGAAGCTTAATTGATTCACAGTTTCACATGCCTGGGGAGGCCTCGGGGAAACTCACTTCACGGTGGAAGGGAAAGAAAACATGTCCTTCTTAACATGGCAGCAGGAGAAATGCCAAGCAAAGGGAGAAAAGCCCCTTATATGACCATCAGATCTTGTGAGAACTTACTATCATGAGAACAACATGGGGGTAACCACCCTCATGATTCAATTACCTCCCACCAGGTTCCTCTCACCACACGTGGGGATCATGAGAACTACAATTTAAGATTATATTTGGATGGGAACACAAAGCCTAACCATATCACATGGCAAGGGTATTTGTTATACAATGGGACCAATTTTCCCTGCCTATTATGCAGTAGAGAAGTTTCTATCACCTTTGAAAGTTGGAGCATTTAACACATAAAATGTAAGATAGATTTTAGATAATATACTTCTGTTTGGGGGGGGCAGGATTATTCCCATTACCATGCTTTGCTTTTCATAAACTGGCTCCTGACTACCTCTTTAGTAACATCTATTCCTATTCCTTGTCTCAAACTCTTACTGTGTATGTCCTTTTCTGTGCATACACAAACATGCTGTTTCTCACCTCAGTGCCTTTGCTCATGCTATTGCTTCTTCTGGGAATTCCCACCGTCATCTTCATTTGGCTACTACTCATCCTTTAAAACTCTGCTTGGGTGTCCTCCTCCAGGTCTTTTCACAATAGTTCCTCCTTTATTACAACAGTCTAGATTTAAATGTCTCTCCTCTGTGTTCCTATGCACCCTATGTTCTTTTTACATTGTGTGAAATTACTTGCTTATCTTCCTCTATACTACCAGTTCTTTGAAGACAGGGAGATTGTGTTAATTATTCCTGTGTTCCACACATCTAGCACAATACCTGATGCAGATTAGGCACTCAGTAAATATTTATTAGAAAATTTTACTCAGATAAGTAACTTAATGACTTTGTTGCCAAAAAAAAAAAAAAAAAGGAAAGGACACCTGGTATATAATTCACTCTCAAAGACTCATGAGATCCGAGAGCATATTTTCTCTTCTTTGGGCCCCTATTTATTAACTGATGAAAAAATTATGTTTGTGTATTATTGATTTGAAACTTGAAAGAAGTATAGAAGTTGTATGGGCAAAAGAGAGAGGGAACTATGTAAACTCAATCACAAGGATATGAATGAGCATTGTGTGGGAAAACAGAAGAAGATTGCTCATTATTGGAGTAATAAAAAATAAGGAGAGAGAGAGAAAGTGTGACCATTCATCTGCCTTGCAATCTACGCCTAAGCCATGGTCTGAAAGGCAATAGTAAAATTATTGTTAACTTGGGCATGACACATGGGAAGCTCTGCTTTAGCTGTGCAAAAACACCTCAACATTGTAATTAACGACCCACATGCATTACGTTGTTCAATGGGGGACTTTTAAACATGGGCCATTCCTGCTAGGACACACACAACAATAGCCATGAGCCTGATTTGCTTTTGTTTGTTTGTTTGTTTTAAAAAAAAGCATTTTCAGAAATTGAGATGGTTTGGTGGTTTGGCTCTGTGTTCCCACCCAAATCTCATCTCAAATTGTGATTCCTGCATGTCAAGAGAGGGACCTGGTGGGAGGTGATTGGATCATGGAAGCAGTTTCCCCCATGCTGTTCTGGTGATGGTCAGGGAGTTCTCATGAGATCTGATGGTTTAAAAGGTTTAAAAAGTGGCAGTTTCCCCTTTCTCTCTCTCTCTCTCTCCCCCCCCTCTCTCTCTCACCACCTTGTGAAGAAGGTGCTTGTTTCTTTTTCCCCCTCCACCATGATTATGAGTATGAGTTTCCTGAGGCCTCCCCAGCCATGTGGAACTGTGAGTCAGTTAAACCACTTATTTATAAATTATCCAGTCTCAGGTAGTATCTTTATAGCAGTGTGAAAACAGACTAATACAGCAATTGAAAGATTTAGTTAGTAATAAATTAGTAGCAACCAAAAGTCAGCTCATAACTGTGATTTTGTCCAGGAAACAAAGTTAAAATAAAAATTGATCCAATAGTTACATCCCATATTCTTCTTCTTTCTCACTAAAATTATGTCATTAACCATGGAAGTTGTCTTCAGTCTCATATTTAAGGTGATGTACACCCCAATTACCCTGATTTGATTATATGAATATAACAAATTATCCATCACATGTACCCCCAAAATATATACATCAAATATGTAATTTAAAAAGAAAAGAGAAGGCATTTGAACGCTTTCATGAAACCCAATGCCTTATTGAGCAACCACATTATATTTTAGCCCTCTCCTGAAATAACTCTTTTAAACTTTACCAGCTGAAAGTGTGAAAGAATGAAGAAGAAAGACTAGTTGGTCTACAGTAAAAATAAATAATATAAATTCCTATCTTAGTAAATGTAAATACATGAATTAAGCATTTGAAGTTTATGGTTTCAGACATTAATCACTTTACTATAAATCAGACTCTAGCCATAGTCAAAACATTAGTAAGCTTTTCTCGAAAAGGTTCCTAAGAAGCAAGACTTACTTAAGAAAGAAAATTTTGTTGTCAGCCAAAGAAGTCATGATTCCCTAGCAGTATCAACTAGTGAATTGACAGAGAACACACATCTTGCTTTCTACAGAATATAAAGGACAACATGCTATAGAATCTTGAAAGAAAATAGTAGCTCCTGATGCATAATTTCATATTGGTTGTTTCCAAACAGGGCAACTTAATTTGTTAATTTTATGGTTTTGTTACATTGCCTGTACCATAACATAGCACTTTAGGTATAAACTTTATATTGAAGTGTAACATACATAATAAAAATGCACAAATTATAAATATACAACTTAATGAGTTTTCACAAACTTAACACTCCCATGCAATTAGCAGTAAGTTCAGGAAACAACATTACCAGAACCTCAGAAGACCTCTTATTACCCTCCCCACTATCTTGAGTTTTAACACCATACGTTAGCTTTGTCAGTGTTTGAACTTTTAACAAGTGGAATATTGTAGTATATACACTTTTGTGTCTGACATCTTTGACTTAATTTTATGTTTTAGAGGGTCTCCCATACTGTTACATGTACCTGTAGTTCATCTATTATCATTCTGTATCATATTACAATGTATGAATATGCTACTATACAATAAATACTAAATTCACTTAACCATTTTACTAATGAACATTTGAGCTGTTTCCAGATTAGAGCTATTTTGAATGGTCCTGCTATATATTTAGGCAAAACCCTGTCTCTACTAAAAATACAAAAAATTAGCTGGGCATGGTGGCAGACGCCTGTAATCCCAGCTACTTGGAAGACTGAGGCAGGAGAATCACTTAAACCTGGGAAGCAGAGGTCACAGTGAGCAGAGATCATGCCACTGCACTCCTGGCCGGGCAACACAAGCAAAACTTCTCCAACAAACAAACGAACAAAACTCCTTGCTCATACATAAGAAATAACTCATTCATTCAAGTTTTATCATGAGATTGCAGCAATTCAGTTACCTCTTCAGGCTATACTTCTAATTCTAGT